ATGCAACCAGGAGTCAGTAAGATGACATTCATGAGGTGGTGGTACCACCTCCCTGGCTGTGTTAAGACTTGCAGCTAAGGGCATGCCTGTTTCCTAAGTCACACTGGCACATGTCGGTCCTTCCTGCAGAAGAACAAGGTAGTTTTGCCCTTCACTATGTTAAATGGCAAGAATGTCAGGCATTGGAACAGGCTGCCCAGGGCAGTGGTGGAATCACCATCCCTGGAAGTGTTCAAAAATCGTGTAGATGAGGCCTTCAGTGATACGGTTTAGTGGTGGCTTTGGCAGTGCTGTGGAATGGTTAGACTTAATCATCTTAAAGGTGTTTTCCAACCTAGGTGATTCTGTGTGTGAAGGAGCATTACCTGTCCAGGCACTATTTTACAGCTGCTTTATTTGAACAACAAAATGAAGAAATTGGTTCAGTCTGATCAGAAAGATGACCAAAGATCTTTCCAAAAGCATCAAACATTATCTTCCTTTGCAATTATTTGCAATAGCAGTCATTTCCTTGCCCCAGTTTTCTCCAGCCAAAGGCTCTGGGGCTGTTTTAGGCAGAAGATCTCTTTTATTTCCAAGTCACACCTGAGAGAAATTTGTCCAGTTCTCACAGGCAAGTTAGGCAGCATCAGCTGCCTGGCCTGGGGCGCTACTGGATCCCTGTCCCATCTGTATTGTCCCAGAGACACATATACAGATACATTCTGATCCTGAAATACTTGGCTCCATGGTCAAGCTGGCTTCTTGTCAGACAAGTAGGTTCTTAGTGCCTCTTCAAACATGCAGTTGAGTTTGCCAGCCCAGTCAGCTCTCTTAAGAATGAAAGCTGCAGTGCAAATAGCCAAATCCTGGCTTCCAGCCCACACAGTCCCAGCACTAGACACAAGATGTTTAACAGACTGTAAATAAAAGCCCGTAGACTACAATGGGCCCACTCCTTCTTCATTACACCCACAAATTCCAGTAATCTGGATAATCCCTCAGTCAAGAAAGAAGGAAATAAACTTGTGAAATACCAGTAGACAGTGATATGTTCATACAAGCCTCCAGGGCAACAGGGTCATTGTGTAGATGACTAATTTCTTAAGGTAAAACAAATTGGAGCACCTAAAGGAAACCAGCAAACACTTCTGTCCACTTTTTTGTTTAAAATTCTGGCGATAAGCATTCTCTGTGTAGCAGGATGTAGCTGGTACTCTTTGCCAAGTTCTGTGGACATTTTGAAACGCCATTTAATATGAAGCAGGCACCAGGTATCACAGCCTTAAGAGAAGAACAAACCCGTGGCCAAGATACGCTGATCTGATTTAGTTTTACGCTGTTCTGTGTATTTGTAGAGTTGTTAAACAACATCCTGGTATGCTAAAAGAACGCCCCAAAACAAAACAACAAACCCCCATCATTTTCATGACATTGAAAATTCTGTTTCCGGAGCACTTTTGTGTTTTTCTGCTTGGGGTTTGTTTTTTTTAATTCTGTAATCTCAGGTTTAGTAATTCCAAGAAATTTTGTATCAGCACACTGTGGGGGTCCCTTATTCAAACAGCGAAAGCCACTTGCTTCTTCTGTGCTGAAAATGTTCTTGCCAGTAAAAGCTATTTGGGTATGAGGGTTTTCTTTTTCGTCATTTGTGAACTTACTTACTCAGTAACTAGAGTTATATTAGATCAGAAATTTAACGTTGGTGTCACTCATTTGCCCCCTATGGAAGTGGTGGTAATGGCAATGTTGCAAAGACGTTCCATCAGATTTCTTTTAATAGTTCCTTACAGTGTGATTCACTTGAGAATGACTCAAGGATAATGAAAGGAAACAAAAGCCATTTTATGCATAAATTCTGGTATTTTCTGCCCTTTGCCCATAGTGTAGACGCCATGGAGTAGAAGCATGGAGGCTCCAGTGTATTATTCCCAGGACTGATGGAGGAACATGGTTTAGTTCTCACCTCAACAAAAAGCGATTCAAACTCCTTTCAGAAGAGACAGTAGGAAGAAAACATTAAAGATTGACTTGGCAAATGAGGAAGGGAAAACATGGGCAAGTTGCACTCCATCGGGAAAGGAGGAAAACCCATCATTTCATGAGTACTTTAGAGACCCGTTACCTTGTATGACTAGAAATATGCACAAGAGGGAAGAATGTATCCTTGCTACGTATCCTTGTAGTCCCCAAAACCAGAGGCAGCTAGGTGAGAGCACCAGCCACCAGGCTCAAGTTTCTCTCTCATTCTACTCAGTTTCTCTGCCCTGTGAAGCTCTCATCATCCTCTACAATATGGAGAAGCTTTGTAGGAAGAACTTAACCCTGCTTTGCATGCATATGGGTGATCTGTGGTTCCTTACACTCTAAATCTAAGTGAAAGTGTCAGTCCCTACCTCAGATTTCTCTCTGCTAACCCCAAAGATCTCATAACTTACAGGAAAGAGGACATGTGCAAGGTGGGAGGTGGCATCCTCCCAGCCACAAGCTTCAACCTGAAGTCTGAGAGTCTCAGACAAGGGATAAACCTGGAGTGAGAACCGCCCCGTCCTGCACTAGTGCTGGGCTGGTGTTCCCCAGGACAGGCAGCTGAGCTCCTGCAACTGTGCATGCTTTAAGGCTGTAAGCTAGAACTGGCAGCTGGAATTATCCAGGACCACGCACTATGAGCGGGATGCAGGCAGAGGAGGCTGAAGTATCTACTTGCAGCACCTCTCTGGTGCGGGAGGAAAGCTGGATCATGGCTGTCACTGGAGTATTGCCAGAGTAGTAATTTTTTCAAGGGCTACTATTTATGTTTTCCCCGCTGTGGTATTTTCACTTTCTCCCTCAAAACCACTCTGCAGCGTCAAGAGGCCAGTCATGTGGGAAAATGAATGTAAAGTCTGTTTTACTTTTGTGAATGGGCTTTTGAGCAGATGTTGTCAAGGGAATCCCCCTACAAGCCAGAGCTGGTTTCTGGTTTATTTTCTTCCCTTCACTCAGGCAGAAGGCTCACCCTCACAGCAGCCAGCCCAGCCTTGGGTGGAGTAGGTAAGCATGGTCAGGGTTAGCCTGGAGACCACCCCTCAGAAGAAGGTACTACTGGGTGTCTCCCAAAGAGGGCTTTTGCGGACCACTGGTGTCAAACACCAGGCTGCGGGGAGTCCTAGCTTTGGGTGGCCACCGTTCTCTGAGGTGGTGAGCTGCTGACATTTGTTCTCCCCCTAACCTGTGGGGCTCCCAAACCCGCCTGGATGCGTTCCTGTGTAAGCTGCTCCGTGTAGCCCTGCCGGAACAGGAGCTTGGATGAGACGCTCTCCAGAGCTCCCTTCCAACCCGGGCGCTTCTGTATGACCGCAGGTCAGCTCTCTAGCCAGCGGAGCTGAAGCTCCCCCTGCTGTACAAGCAACGCAACAACGCGTGCTGCAGCGCCTGCTGGAGCTGCACCCCGCCAACCAGAGCCCCGCTTAGCAGCATCACCTCGACCCCAGCTCCTCTTTGCCAGCAGCATTCAGCGAAGCAGCGCTTGTGAGTAAACGACAGAGCGCTCCTGAGTGAGGCACAGAGGGAGCGGAGGAAGGGCAGACGGCGTTTTTGTAAGAGGCAATGGGGGAGCGGGTGGGTGCTGCTTTTGAGTGCAGGGAAAGGAGAAGAGTTACAATGTGATGTCCTCATAACTGGACTATAAGAGTTCTGACATTTCTCTTGCTGATAGCTTTCTTTGCACATAGAAGACTATACCATTAAGTATTCTAATAAGGTATTCCAGATAAAAGGCCTTCAGCTGAGCTAGGAACAATCCTGAGGGATCTGTAGCTATGAACAGGAAAACCACCGCAGAGAAGTGCAAACAAAAATAAGAAACACAAGTAGAGCAACTTTTCCACCCATTGCAAAACCAGCTCCTTTTAAGCCACTGTGCTGTATAATGCATTCAAACAGTGCACTGTAAGCAGATAGATGTATTCTCTATTAGTTAAACCCTTGGTGATTGCAAGTGAAAGACTTCCTGTATTGAAGTGGATGCTCGAGACATGTCTTTCTTCTGTAAGGTTCACTTTGAAGTCTTAAAAGAATGGTCAACTCAGTCATTAAAATGCTGCCTCCTGTCAGGTTTTTACTCTGCAGATGTACTTCCAGCACTGGGGAGAGATAATTTCTCTCTTTTTTTTTTTTTTCAAATTTCAGTAAGTAGTTGTGGCTACAGGCATTAGAAAAGGAATATTCAGTTAGGTAATTAGTGAGGAAAATTTTGCATAGGAATTGAAGTAAAACCACACAGTTATTCCTAGCTGTGGAAGTTACACAGAGCAACTCCATTTTCACAGCTGGAATATTATTAAAAATACGTGAGGTAATTTCACCCAGTTTCCTATAGCCCACTAATTGTATTAGACCACACACTGTGTCTTCAAGGGCAGTATTGATCCTTGTCTTGACCCGACATCTCCAGGAGACTGAAAGTTTATCCTTCTCTTAGGTATGCTAATTAAGGTCTACCTTGGACTCCAGCAATTGATTCCTTTTTCGCCTTTTTTCCATTAAATACATCTTACTATGAACTGTTTCTTACGGTCTCAAGTTTTGCAAGAGCCTGTCCAGACCAGAACTGCAATGCTGGATCAAGAACGGTTCACTTTAGGCCGCTTGTGGCAAGCGGTATTTCAGCTCACCTTCCTCACAGCCCTCATCATGACAGCCTCAAGTGCCATTCACGCAAGCACAGCGTGGCCGTCCCACCGCCGCCAAGCCCAACGGCTATTGCCACGGCACTCCCAAAGGGCCGGGGAAGCCCTTTGCAGACCCTGCTGTCAGAACAACCCGGTGCCCCGCGGGGCCGCCCCGGGTGTGGCAGCCCTCGGCCGGACCCAACGCCCTCTCCCCGCCGCCGCCGCCGTTTAAACTGTTGGAGGTGTTTTAAACCGCGGCGAGCACCGCCATGAGCCGCCCGCTCCTCTTGGCGAGTCCCCGGACGCACGGCGCCGGCAGCGGCTCCGCCATAGCAAGGCCTCCGCGATGCGCACGCCGATGATGTGGTCGGTACGGCAAGCGGCGGGGCTCAGAGCACGTTCACACCATCTCCGGCGGCGCACGGCGGTAACGGAGCTGCGGGCCCCGCGATGCAGGTGAAGCTGTGCGGGGCGGTCGGCGGGCGGCTGGGGACGCTGGTGGGGCTGGGCAGGAGCGGGGCCGTCGTGCTGCCGCTGCCGGGATGCCTGCTCTACACGCGGACCGGGTCAGCGCCACACCTCACCCACGACACGCTGCAGACGGTCGGCGGCGTCCCCGCCGTGGCGCAGCTCACCCTGCCCACGCTGTGAGTATCGCGGCCCTGTCTGTTTGTCTGCGGGGCGGGCTTCTCGCTTCCCCGGGTGCAAGGCGAAATGCCGGAGTCTGCTGGCCCTTTGCTGCTTCCCCGTGGGAGGGGGGTGCAGTGATTTAAGGATGTAGAGGGCTGAGGGAACTGGGGATGGAGGGAAGGGGGGATGGTGGGGTGTGTGTTAGTCTGGAGGAGGCTCACGGGGGACCTTATCTTGTTCTACAACTGCCTGCAAAGATGATGGAGTGAGGTTAGTAATGCTACCCAGAAAATCCCAGCGTGATTTTGTGCTCTCCAGCAAGGCAGTGATCACTGGTCAGTGTGAGTAAAAGCTCTGCCTTTTTGCCACAGAATTATGAGTGCCCTGGTTTGTAAGATGTGATTCTTGAGCTCTGGGTTTAGTTCTGTCTGTCTCTGCTTTGTGGCTTGATAGCTGGATGGCAACTATCAGTGTCTAAACCAATGCAAGTTCAGACAGTGCGTAACTATGGGAAGCAGGAGCCTTAGTGATGAAACCACTGATCTTGTTTGCTTAGTTAATGTGTTTCTCTGTCTGGATGCAGGGCAGACATTCATGAGGTCCTGGAAGAATACAAAGAAGGAGCTGCAAAATTTATAGGTAAAATGTGTGTATTTGCTTGTATGTGTGGAGAGATAATGGAGGTGGATCTTGCTGGTGAATTTTTAGGCAGCACAGTAGGCAGAAAGATGTAGGTATAGGCTTTCCATGTTTTGGCATTTTCTTACTGAATGTGGCACTGAGGAAGACTTGAAATAGTATGTTGTCACTAGTATGGCCACAAATCCTTCAAACAGGCTACAAAAACAGGGAGTTTCCCTTTATTTATCTTTTTTTTTTTCTGTACCCAGTTTTCTACTTGGGAGCTTCTGCACTGACTAGGGTGGGCTTAGCCCAGAAGTTGACACTAGAACTGAAAGAGGTTTGACTGTAGCCCCAAGTCACAGCTGCAAGTGAATCTTGCCATGTACAATTTCTGACCTCTTTTGAGGAGAATTGGAAATTCTCATGAGAATGGCTTCCCTCATAGAGCTGTTCAGATACATTTCCTGAGAACATCTGTCTGCTCAAGTTGGCTTTTTCTGATTCGCATGAAATAGTTGTTTTCATCTAAAGAGGAAATCTTCATTCAGTATGAAGAAAAAACAGGCAAAGTGCTCCACATCAAATCAATTTCAGCGGGTGGATGCTTCTGCCGCTGAGCTGTTCCTGTTTTGAAAAGATGTTAGGGGAAGGACCCCATGAGCTCTGAGGAACTGAAGCAGCAGGTGGAGAAGCTCATTTTCCCCTTTCTTTGTTCCTGTCCCTTTAGCAGTTGCACTGTACTTGCTCCCTGTATTCTCCTTCCATTTTTTCACATTAAAGACTCAGTTTTAGGAATAAACTTGACTTTAGTTTGTCAAATATAAGACAGTCAACACTGCCATCACCCTCAGCTACTGCACCAAGCCCCAAGCCTTTGTGCTCTTCATTCCCTGTACTCCATTCCTGGAGCAGTTCCTGAATGAAATCTTTATCTTAACACCTCGTTGACAAGAATGAGTAAAGCAGCAGTTCTTACCTTTGTGACTGTCCTGGGTTTTTCCTGTGGTTGTTGTAACTGCCCATACTATGCCACAAAGATCACTGTTATCAGGCTGCTGTGGCAAAGGAGCCTGAATGGACAGTGAATGCGGGTTAGCATCTTGTGAATATCTGTATCATAGCCTGTATTTATGTCTGGGAAGGTAGCTCAGGGAACTGGAGGATGATCAACCAAGTCAAGAAACTTCTCTGGGATGCTTTAGCTGTCTGCGTGTCTCAGGCTGCACTGGGTATAGAGTAAACCCTGTCAAAGTGGTGTCATGTCTTTAATTTCTGTAATTTATAATCAGTTCTTTGTATAGAATGTGGCAGACTTTGCAAGAAAAAACTTTGTGTTGCCAATGCTGAGGTGTTCTTATGAATGTTTTGTACGTGTCCATTGCACATACATTCTGAATGTGTAAAATAATGTGAATTATTACAATTTTTTAAAATGATAGGACAAGGGGTGATGGGTTTAAACTTAAACGGGAAGTTCAGATCAGATATAAGGAAGAAGTTCTTTACTGTGAGGATGGTGAGGCCCTGGCATAGGTTGCCCAAAGAAGTGGTGAATGCTCCATCCCTGGCAGTGTTCACGGCCGAGTTGGACAGAGCCTTGAGTGACACGGTCTAGTGCGAGGCATCCCTTTCCGTGGCAGGGGATTGGAACTGGATGATCCTAAGGTCATTTTCAGCCCAAACCACTCCATAATTTTTGTCCTATATACAGACACCAAGCTTTTTTTTCCTTTTAAAGCACATCAAACTTTTGGACATGCATTGCATTATGTGAGCGAAGTTATGGCTTGGATTCTAAAGGAAGTTTGCTTGCTCCCAACTTGCAGTAAACTTTGACAGCTTTGGGACAACTTACTGCTTCAAGAAAAATTAAAAACCTCTTTCTCTGAAACTTCTTGGAGGCTTCACCAATTTTCGTGACTATCTGTGAAGTGAAAACTGTATGTCATTGGAACAGGCTATCTAGCTTTCTGGCATTTGAAGCGCCCAAAGTGGCAGGGATTATAAACTTACTTGTGTAGCTGATCTGCTGTCTTGCTATATGCTGTTGTTCATTAAAAGTTCTAGGCTTGAGATTGTTGCTCACTTTAGATTATGTCAGATGTCTCCGATATATCAGTTGAGTGGTCAAGCAAGTCAGTTGTTTGGTCTGTCAAATTTTAATAGCAGGAGTATTAATCAAGAAGAAATACAAAAAACTCTCAAAGGAGCTGTTGAGGTTGCAGAGTCAAAGGGTGTTATTTGATGGTGTATCCTGATGCTGCACTCTCCTCCCTGCAGCTAATAAAGCTGGGGAAAAAGCCTGCCTTCTTTGGTGCTGAGAGATCAAATTAACACTTATTTTCTTTGTCAGAATGAATGTATTTATGTGTGTGAGAATACCCTGTTCCCCTTTTGCAAATTTACAGACCATTAGCTTTGTTTTGGTTCATGAAACTCTACTTTGTTCTTTGTTTCCAGGTATGCCAGAGAAGGTGCTGTACTGCTCCCTTCATGATCCCGTCACTCCCTGTCCATCTGGCTACAACACTAACAAGGTATAGTAACTGTAAAGAATTGAAAGGTCCACTTAAAGTTCCCAAAAGAGAGCTGTCAGTCCTCCCCTTGGCTGGGTGGGTCGACTTAGCCACAAGATTTTTTTATGCTTTGTATAAATACTTGCACAAAGAGGAACATCGTTACATGTTCATACCTCCAGCTAAATAAAGCTGGACATTTTCTTACTTGACGGGATGTTCCTTGAACAGTTAAGTGGCAACTCAGATAGAAAGGAGAGCTCTGGACTCCTATACTCTTGTGGTTAATATGGTGGTGAAAAAAAAAATCCATGTATTTTAGCTTATATGTTGTACAAGCTTATGATAGTGCCACTGATAAGCAGTAAATCTGAACTTCCATGTGTGTGTTTACAATCTGCTACAGGCCCACAGAGGGGCAGATCTTAGTATTTTGCAGGAAGGTAGCTCAGCAGTTCAGGAGTGCATAGTGCTGTGGATGTTTGCCCATTCCATGCCACAGGCACTCATGTTCTCTGTGCAATCCACATGCTGCTTGCTGCCTGACACAACTTTGGCTTGGAGGAGCCACTCCTGGCACCTGCACAGTGCCAAGGCCAGTTTGGGTGCCATCACACTGGGTCACTGAATGACAGGGGGTAAGGACTGTCATCCAGCTGTCAGTGTATACTCTTTCTGTTGGGAACCAGGCTGAGATCTGTCTTGCTGTAGGAAAGGAGTCATCTGAAGCTTGTCTCAGTGTTGTGCAGTGGTGAGGTGATGTCAGCAATCTAAACCTGGAGGATGCAGGTTTGATCGGTTTCATGTTTTGAAGCCGATAAAGATTTTTGTCACCCTGCTGCAAGGCATTCAGCAGCTAGATTTACACTGACAAATACTTCTGAGAGCTTTTTGAAAGCAGTGGGATAGAAGGCTTTGGTTTCTGTGCCAGAAAGCCTGACACAGGCTGGATTTAAGTACTCAGAGGGTAATGCTCAGTTCTGTAAGCCACATGGCTGTTTTATTTATGAAAGCAGCTGTTCTCCTCTGGAGAGCAGAATGAAGGTAAGTAGACTTGATTACATTCTGTGCCCTTTGGCTCAAACAGTTCTGGCTTTCCTCTGTCTGCCTTCACCAGCTGTTCCTCGATGCTCTCACATAAGAGGCAGCAGGTACTAACTGGCCAACACGCTGCTACAGAACAGTGTAGAGCTGCTGCATTCCAGTTAGTCTGCAGGTTGTAATTTGGGATCTCCCCCTACCTTGGAGACTTCTGCCTGTTTCTTTGTTACTCAAGTTCTGTGAAATTGGCTGATGAGGCCAGAAGTAATCAGGAGAGATGGATGGATGGATGGGTAGCTGGATAGATGGTTGTACAGCAGATATGTAGTGCAACCCATTTGTGTTTTTTTTTTTTGTGAAGACCAAAAGGGAATTGCTCTGTGCATTTTTTTTTTTTTTTGCATCAGTTTATCAAATTCAACTTGTTGTTAGTATGCGTGAGAAATGCATTGCTGAATTTGTCTGGCATAGGCTAGGAGAATGCTTTTAAACTCTCAAGTCCCAAAAAAGTCCCTATAACACTTCAAGCTATAAGCTATTTATGATAGCTGAAAAAGGTTCCTCATTTAAAAATGAGCTAAACAGGGATGAAAAGAGCTAACTTCTAAAGGGCTCAAGCACAATGCTTAATCTACTTCAATTCTCCTTTAAAATTTGGGAGCAGCAGTGTCACAAGTCTAGCAGTAATACAACAAAAGCAATCATAGAACCATAGCATCATGGAATGGTTCTGTAGGGTTAGTAAGGACTTTAAGATCATCTAGTTCCAACCGCCTGCCATGGGCAGGGGTGCCTCACACTAGACCATGTTGACAAAGGTGCTGTCCATCCTGGCCTTGAACGCTGCCAAGGATGGAGCATTTACTGCTTCTCTGGACAACCTGTTCCAGTGCCTCACCACCCTCACAGTAGAGAACTTCTTCCTTACATCTTAACTGAACTTTCCCTGTTTAAACCCATCACCCCTTGTATTAGTGCTACAGCCCCTGATGCAGTCCCTCTCCAGCGTCCAAGCTGCATTCAAAAGTTAATTCCAGGTTCTGCAGAGTGGGATAAAACATGCATAGTTACAGTGGCTGCAGTAACATTCTGTGGCTCTGCATGGTTAGTGAATTGAATGATGCTAGCCCAGAGGTGTTGAAGTAACATAACCTCTCTGCGAAGGTGCTCTTGTCTTGCTTTAAAATCGTTTGAGTGTAGCATGGAGTAACAATATGTGATGGAGGCCCATGTGTGCATGCAGAAGGGAAGATGCGTGAGGAGACCGAGAAGACTGTGAAATCCTAATGAGTACCTGCCATTTCTTGCACTGTCTCTAAAAGTTGTGTGTTTCTGTTTTGCTTGGTATTTCAATCTCTTCTTAAGTGGCTGGATTTGGGACCAGAATCCAAATAACGTTGGATTCTAAGGTTAAATTGCCTAACCTTTTGTATTCTTCTCTGTGTCTGTGTGCTTGATACATACATGTGTATTCGCACAGGTGGTATGAATTCACTGCTCAAAAGAGGAAATAGTTTATTGGTTTTGCATTATGTACAGAAAACTAGTGAACTGTAATTCCTATTGTATCCTTTTCTGATTTTGAGAGATTACAACATAAGTTTGATGGGAATTAAATCTTTTCTTCTTTTTATTTTTCCAATTCTGCCACTAATTTGGGTGATGATAGGCCATATGCTCTATCCCAGAGACTTTCAAATATGTGGAGAATTACTGTGTTGAGTGTTACGGTTTCATCAAAGCGTATCCCAGGCATCCCAGTTAAGTAATTTATCTCCTTTCACTCATTGTGCCAAATGCAGCTGATTACCTGAGCCATGGTCCTGGAGAGCTTGTCTATGAAGTATCATTCCAATATCTGGTGTTTCACCAGACCAGTTCCTTCTCTGCTCTGACTCTTACAATCTGTTAACTTTTGCATCTAACATTCATCCCTGTTTGTCCTTGACAGACAGTGTCCCTGTGGGGAAGCTCAGGGCGCATGGAAATCACAGCTTCCAAGTTCATGGATATGCAGCGGGCTATCCAGCCAGATTGGTTCCAGTGCATCTCTGATGGAGACACCATTGCTGGAGAAGCTGGTAGAAAAAGGGCCAAGAAGTCTGTGGATAGGTCGCTTTCCTTCCTGGATGCATGCCTTCAGATGCTAGAAAAATCACCGGTAAGGTCCCCGAAATATGGGGCTGCTTTTTGGTCTGTGCTGCATCTTTGAATAGTCCCAGGATGTGATTTAGTAGGAAATCGTGTCACACAGATGTATCGGAGAGTGCCCAGGTGAGAGTCCTGTGTGAGGTATAACCAGTAGCACTGTGAAGTTTCCTTCCTTTAATAACTTGCCTCCTGCACCAGGATACCCATAGAAAATAGAATGGTTGGGGTTGGAAAGGACCTTAAGTTTATCCAGTTCCAGCCCCTCTGCCATAGACAGGGATACCTCACACTAGACCATGTCACCCAAGGCTCTGTCCTGCCTGGCCTTGGGCACTGCCAGGGATGAATATTTACTAGTTGAGGAGAGTTATTTAACTTTTTCCTGCTTTTGGACTGTAGTGCATTTGTTTTACTTCCCTTCGTGTTAGATACGTGAGCAAAGGTTTCTCATTCAGATTGAGGAAACCCATCTTTTTGCTCCGAATTTCAGTTCCAAGTGAGGGAGAACTTGCTAAAATTTGCCAGTGCCATTCTTCATTTCCTCCAGCAGTTTTGAAATTTCCCTCCCTTTTGGTGAGAGGGAACATACTAAGTCTGTACTACAAAGGAAAATGGGTCACAGGAGCTGATATTAGTATCCCCTGAAAGGCAGTTAATTGTGAGATCTAGTGTCTGACAGCCAGGATAGTGGCACCTGCTTTGTTTTCTGTACTGACACATGTAATGCTGAGAGGCTGTCTATAGAAAGCCATGTACAAAGATCATCTGTGGTTATTGCCTTCTATAGAGAGGTGGGATGGCACCAAAATTCTCAGGGAATCAAAACTGACAGTGTCATGGTAAGGAGCGTAATCTTGTCTCTGAATCCTTTTTCTACCTTACACTTGGACTTCACAGTGTTATGTGGGGAATAGTCATACATAATGTGAAATGCTGTGCTTCTGCTAAGTTCCTGGGAATGTGGGGCTTAAGTGGTTGGCATGTGGAGTCTGGGCTGTGAGATGTCTTGCATGTCTTTGGCAGAGGACGCTCTAACACTTGTAGCTTTCTCCTGGGCCAGGAACTACAAAGAAGTGTAATGTTCGGGGCAATTGAAGGTGGAGATGTCTTGGAAGAGAGGCTCAGATCAGCTAGGGAGACTGCCAAGCGACCTGTGGGTGGCTTTCTGCTAGATGGCTTCCAGGGATGTGCCATGGCCAAGGAGACCAAGTTGAAACTCATAGCTTCTGTCACAGCAGAGTTGCCAGAGGATAAACCAAGGTAAGCTGTATGGGAAACATCCCAAGAAGTCCCATCTGTCCTATTATGAGGAGCATATACAGGCTGCTGTGCAATATCACTGTATTGTACTGCTTCCTGTATGTGCGAGGCTGCATAAGTTCTACCAGTGTCAGGCTGCAGTCTTCAAACCCTGTTTCAGTTTTTAGCTGCAACTGGCACCAAGCTGTGCCTGCACTGTGGGTTTTGGGTTTTAGTATTCCCCATATTTACAGAACAATCAAGATTTTTAGCTCAAGTGATTTTACATTTTAGGAGGAATTGCAGGTATTATATGTCTGGACTGCTTGCATTTGGCTTCTGAGGCTGTGGTTTACTTGCAGTTCAGTTCAAACAAGAACTTTATTACCAATGTATTTTACAGGGACCTCTTCTCAGAAAAACTCATGTTTCCAGTTCTCTCTTATGTGAACTAGAGGAGAGAAGGGAGGGCTGCTTACAGAACCAGTGAGTGCTCACACGGTCTTATGGCAGCCAGCTCTAACTTATTACCTAAGAAACTGAGCCTGTGAGTTACCAGAGGTGGTACAACCTGGCCCAAACCAATTGTATTCTCTGCTTGGAATGGCATAGTGTAGGGATCATTGTGTATTCTAAGGTGCAAGTTCTGTCCATAAGATTGATGCCAGAGACTGGACAGGAGGGGCAGCTTTCTTGACTCTTAAAAATGACTTAACAGTAATTAAAGACTTTCGGAAAATATGCACTAGTATTTTCTCGTGATTCAGAAGGGGGGGAGGAGGGGATGTTCCTTAGCATTGGGTTGAGCTTGCTGTCTTTTGCATGGGTTGCTCTTACAGGAGCAGCTGCAACAGAAGTAGCATGGCTGTCTTTTTTCATCATTTCCTGAAGAGAGTGACTCAGGCCCCATTGTCTTTCTGCTGCCTTCTGCACTGCTTTGACCTAACAGTGTTCAAAATGCAATTAAATGCAAAAGCATGTGCCTGGTATTGCAGCTTGTTCATGCTTAGTGGTACCTGGGGTTTGAAGTTTCCTGATAATTACAAGGCTCGCTGTGTTGTTGCCATGCTGTCTGGTTTTGCTGCTTAAAAGATCCCCTGGGAGCATTAAGAGTCCAATCTGCTCAGGTAACCTCAGTGGCTACCAGTGCATCTGCTTCATCTATCAAATAGTTTGCTTGCCTGGTTAAGACAAGTGTTTCTGACCTCTTTGTAGGAAGAAAGCTGGTTACCCCTAAGGGGTCTTGTAAGTATTTCAAGTGAATTTCAGACAGTCCTGCTCTCCTGAATCACCCTTGCCATTCTGGCTGGAGAAGTTGTTTCACAGCTGTGTTCTACCCCAAAAATGAAATTCTCTAGAAGATAAATGCTTCCTATGCTTCACCCAAGAAGTGACTGATTTTTGTGTGATGGTGAAATGATCTTACAAATGTACTCTGAGTCCTGTCATGTACCTAAAGATGCTGCAGCTTCTTATTAAAATTTATTTCACTTTTCAGTACCCTTGCAAGAGCAAATGTTTGTCATTACCTTGGCAAAGATAAGTTTTAGCAAGGGTTTGGATCATATATGCAGAGCTACTGTGTTAACTATTAAGTATAATTTTTTTTCTGTGCTGCTAGAGCCTGAAACGCAAGACACCCATGCTGTAAACTTCTCCTGTCCTTATTCTGTGCTCACAAATATAATTGGAGTAGTTAGAAGAGTGATTAAAAGTGGCATCTTGTGACTTCATTTTATCCTGTGTATTTTCCTCATTATCTGTTTAGATCATTGCCCTGCATTAGCTTCTACTGTTGTCAGCCCAGCCATGCACCTGCAGGAGTGCAGGGCCTGCTCTGTTCTCTTCTGTTTCACCGACCCTCGGGGAAGCTGCCAGCTAAATTTGGCTAACAGCAGGATCCCTGTTACCAGTGATGGCAATCCAGCTGGGCTCTTCCTGGCTCTTAATGCCATGTCCTAGGAGATGTTACAGCCCAGGTTTTTGGACAAATCATTTGAGCAGGTAGAGTGTAAAGAGGAGGGAGGAAGAAAGCAAGGAACTTTTCTCTTTCCAGTGACATTTGTCATTAGTGCATTCTCTTCCAGGCAGTTCTCCAAGTGCTATATGATGTCTGTCACCTGGAGGACTTGTATGTTTGACCAGCCATCTCCTGCTGTCCCTGCTGCTCTTGTCAGAACTTTTTAGAGGTTCTCCTAAACAGTTACCAGGCAAAGGGGTCCACGTATCTGGAAACTGGTAGTTCCCTGCGGCACAAGCATGACTAAGGAAAATACCTGTTCTATGACATACATGCTAGGGGAATTTTGAATCTGGGTGTTTTTGTATATGTACTTCAAACATCATGGACACAATGAGGTTTTTCTGCAGTAAATGAAGGATTACTGATGTCTTCCAAACGGCAGATAAAGAAAAGCCTGTTATGTACTGGATAAATTGGAAGTGGAGAACTGGAAGCACACAGTGATGACTGTTGTATACACTTGCCTTCTGGTTAGCAGTTGCAAGGATAAGCTACATGTGCTGCACATATGTCTTTTCCTTCAGGTACTTGTTTGCTTTCTAGACAGAATATTCTAGATTTGTCTTCTTGTGTGTGTCTTACAGACTCATCCATGGTGTAGGCAAACCAGATGAGGTGCTTGAGTGCATTGAAAGGGGCGTGGACATTTTTGAGAGCTTCTTTCCCTTCCAAGTGACAGAGCGAGGCTGTGCCTTGGTTTTCAGTTATGACTGCCATCCAGATCCTGAAGCAACAGGTAAGCTCCTTCATGGTCGTTACAGTTTTTACTGTATCAGCCAGTATTGTGAGAAGCATAATTCATGCTTTGGTGGAATCTATACTAGAGGATTTTGTTCCTGAAATAAGTGAAGTAACAACTGGACAAACTGGGATTCCACTGTCAAGTATTGCTTTTGAAGGTGGGATATTTTGACGGGAACTTGAGGCTTCCACTTAGGATCTGAATGATTAACCAGAATTATGTCTTAAACATTTACTGAATAGAGAAGTTTCTGTTCTACACCATTGGCAAATGTTCTATTACTGTTAGCAGTGAAGGCTGGACCTGTTAAGTGGAGATCCAAGATACTTGATCTCTAGAATTAACTGAGTATGTATCTGTTTAGATGATGTATTTTTAAAGTCATTTAAGTCCCCAACAGAAGTTAGGGATTCCAGTTCTTTGGGCAGCTTTCCTCTCTGGCCTTGTATTTGATAGTTCCTATCAAAACAAAAAGGAGCTGTTCATAACTCATTACCTGGTTGCTCTGTAAGATGGGAGCATGTGTATCACCCATTAAAGCATCTATAAAATGTTTTTCAAGCAGCTGTTTTGGTTTTGCTTATGAAGTGTTTTTTAATACAGAAAAAACATTTTACATTTTTCCTCCTGGGTAGCATATAGCAGCTTTTCATGACTGGATAATTCAAAACCTGAATAGAATGGAACATCTTGATTCTTTGTGCTTGCTGCTGGTTTTTTAACCCTTCTTTTTGTTTTTTATTCTTTACCTTGTCTCACCTTATTCTTAAATTAGAAGATTCTGGGTAAGGACAGAATCTGTTCTGTGTCTGTTTAACACTCAGTGGACATGGATTGTGCAAAACCCTAATATTGATGTGTCCAGATAACGTCTCCTGCTTAAGAACAAACCTAAAAATGCAAACCTACAAAATTATATGGTGAGTTTTTATTTTTAAAACAGACTGCTGTAAGGCAGATGTGGAATCTAAATTTTCTGCATTAGTGCTACCAGCCTCTTTTGATTGCCACTGTTTTCAAGAAAAGAAAAAGGGCATCTTTTTGAGCCTGATGACAGCATGGAGTGTAGAATGGGTGAATGCAGATGAATTGCCTGTCTAACATAATCTCAATAAAATGACTTTGTTCAGGTGATTGCAATCTATCCAGCATGCAGTTCAGACTGGAAGTGTCTTTGACATTTTATTAAGAATGCAGCTTAGTAAAGCAGCAAAAGGTTACACTGTTGTTTCAGATCTAACTCTTCATTAGGTTTAGTAGATAAGTTTTCACTTGCCTCTCTATGTTTTAATCATCTAAATTGTATTTGTGTTAACTAACCTATGCTAATTAAGGAAAATCAGTTGCTTACCATAGGAAGGAGGTGGAAACTTGGGGTGGGAGTTTTCAGCCGTTAAGCGAGTAGCAGAAACACCTACTTTAAGGTTGTTACCCTTCCTCTGCCCTTCCTGTCCATAAAAGGCTGTTGTCTTGATTTATAACAGTTTTCATGCAAAATGGTGCCCAGGACCTGGAGAAGAATGGTGCTGAAGAAGACCAAGGTGAAATCTCCAAAGCTGACCCAGAAATGACACCATTTGAAATATGTCTAAAGGACAAAAGGTACGTGAGTTTGTGAGGAGGGTACATACAGCTGTATCACTAAATATGATGCTTTTGTCCTCTGTGTTTGATGGCATGTGGTCAGTAGCTGGATGGGAGACTTTATAAAACATGAAGCTGCTGAGGGCAGTACTTCTGGACACATGAGTGGAGAGTGTTGGATAAGCATTATAGCTTGTGATCAGGCATCAGTGTGTGGCTGGAAGCACTGACTTTTGCTTGACCTAAAGCTGGGGATTTTCTTACCATTTATCCAGCAGACATACTGTGGTCATAACTATGTTCCAGCTGAATGGAATGACAGTAGGCTCACAAAGGTTGTCTGGGGATTGTTCTGGACTTCCAAATCTAACATGGGTCATCTTGAGATGCTAGATTTTATATAAACCATGGAGAGCCTTTCTGACTCTGGGCAGCTGGAGAGCAATTATGCAGTTTCTGGATACTTACAAAAACTTAGGACATTGTTACCATGTGTTCTTCCTTCTCTTTTACACAGCTACCATTAGGCTCCGTAGACAACTGTGTTACTTTGCTCAATCCTCTCTCCACTTTGAGAATGGTGCATCTCACAATAGAGGGGAGGGAATACAGTTTTGATAGTTTTTTCTTTCATAGACTGATAGGTAGTGAGGTGTGTCTTGCACTGCAGCTTTGCTGTCAGGGAAGACATTAGATAAGGGCTCTCTCTGCTGTTAGCTGTGGTATAGTCAAAAGTCATCCTCTGACTTAGCTGTGTGGCATTTTTGGTTCTGTAGTAAGTTCTGGCATGATACTTGAAGTCCTACCTGCCAGTAGAGCTGGTCTTGAATGTCAACACATCTTACAGCAGCTGGATTCAGGCCCTCAAGACTGTCAGGCTCAGGTCCCTGCAAAAGGCCATATAGTAGCTGGATACCCTATTGCTTAAACGGGTCTTCTTTCCTTTGATGTAATCCAACATTGCTTCCTCCTTAGATACCAAGATGATTTTGGTCCTGTGCTGGAAGGATGCACGTGTTACTGTTGTCAAAGGCATACTCGCGCCTATGTCCATCACCTCCTCGTGACCAATGAGCTGTTGGCTGGTGTTCTGCTCATGATGCACAATTTCCAGCACTACTTCAGTTTCTTCAGTGCCATACGGGATGCTTTAAAAGACAATAAACTGCATCAGCTGAAAGAGTTTGTCTTCAGGCAGGCGCTTCAAAGCCCAGCAAATGCGAAGCCAGGCCAGTGACTTCAGAGAGCATAGCGGAGGATGCAGGCTACATCCTTATCTAGTGAGACTGTGCTAAGGTGGACTGCCAGCAGGGTCACCTGGATCTATTAGTAGTTAAATGCCTGCTTTTCTGGAGGGAACCGAAGGAGACGTTTGAAGAAGATCTCTCTTCTGTGGAGAAGGAAGGTCTTACTCAAACATCCCTTTCAGTTAATTGGCTTAAGTGTATTATTGGGGTACAGAAAAGACTGAATAGCTCACAAGACCAGGATGGATAGCTTTGTTTTCAGTTACTCACTGTTGGCTTTCATGTGGAAGGACAGAATTATTGAACTTGTGACTGAAGAAGCAGCAGGCTGAGAAATTGGGGCTGTTCAGGCTGGAGAAGCTGCGTGGAGATCTCATAGCAGCCTTTCAGTATCCAAAGGGGTACTACAAGGGTGCTGGAGAGGGACTCTTTGTCAGGGACTATAGGGATAGGACAAGGGGTGGTGAGTTTATACTTACACAAGAGATGTTCAGGTTAGATACAAGGAAGAAGTTCTTTACTGTGAGGGTGGTGAGGGACTGGAACAGGCTGGCCAGAGAAGTGGTAAATGCTCCATCTCTGGCAGTGTTCAGGGCCAGACTGGAAAGAGCCTTAGATGACATGGTCTAGTCTGAAGCATCCCTGCCAATGGCAGGGGGTTGGAACTGGATGATCTTAAGGTCTTTTCCAACCCAAGCCAGTCTATGATTCTGTATACTTAAAATTAATCCAGCTGTCTGGAGGCTCAGCACCTGTTTGGGACTCTGATCCAATACCCAATAGATATTATAGGTAATTATTTTCCTTAGAAAATCCTAGTGGTGTGGTTGTCCCATCGTGCAGCTCCTTGATGAGAGATCACACCTCAGTTTAACACAGTTCCTTGCAGCCATTGCGAGCATCTGTGTCCTTGAAAAGAACCGACTGGAGGTGCTGCTGTGTTCAGTGGCACAAGGGGCTGACTGTGTACTACTCTCTCACGCTGCCTGTGGTGCAGTACGTTCTCTGGGCCAGGAGGAGGCCTTCCACCTCTGCCTGGCCTTAAAAACCCCTGTCTCAGGAACGCCAGTCACTGACATGAGACCCAGAAAGAAGAGAACGTATGTAATCCATGTCCTGCTGTAGAGGGATTTTTTGGCTCTGTACGCTTTCACCTGTATGGACAAATGTTTCACTCCTGCCTACCATGTGGATGGTGATGAATGTACCATTCTTTCCAGCTGTCCTAGCACTGCTCAAAGATCAGGCTACGCAAACGTTGCGGTGAGATGGAGCTATGGAAGCGATGGATCTCAAGAAAGTGTTTAGAAAAGATTCTTGTGTCTCCTTGTTTTAAAATATGACTTTGTTATGACACATCCCTCTCATTCAGTTTTTTTATGCCCTGAACTTTGGAATCCTGGATTTATTAATTTTATGTTATGAAGCAACAATAAAATATTTTTATTATTCATTACACTGGCTGCTCACTGTGTGACAGAGGTGATGTGACAGAGTGTGAGTGTACTGCTCAAGAAGATGTCTTCTCGCAACTGAACCTGATGGAGAACCAGGGGCTCATTTTCCAATGGGATCCTCTCATGAAGCAGTGGTACAAATAATTTGCTTCCAAAAACATGCCATAATAGACCTGGAAGTGTTAAAGGCTGAAAGTGTTAAAGACCAACCTGTCCTTCTCCCCATAAGAGCTCTACTCCCTGAACTAAGCTTAAAAAAAAAATTCTACAGTAAAGTTGCTGTCCTTAAAGCAATTAAAGATTAATCTGCAGTTTGCTCTTCACCATTTCTGTTATGTTTTAAAATTTTACTATCTCACCTCTAAAGATTTAAGATTTTAATACCTCACATCAGAATGACTTTACCGTAGAGTACAAGGAGTTTTAGCTTCCTTGTCAGCATTGTCTGTGCATCCCTGTCTCCTTGGGCAGCTACACAATGGTGTTAAGAGTCCTTTTTACCATTCCAGTCTTGCCCACTGCATTGCACTAACTACACTTCTGTTCCACAGGACCCTAAAGAAATGTTGCAGACTTCTTTACTGTTGTCTTTAGATGGAGATTATGGGAAGTAATTCAGCTCCAGAAACTATATAAACTCCATGATTAACGTCCTCGCTCCAAGAAGTATCTTACAGTTGTTGATGCAGCCCTGGGAAATACAGAGATGGTGCTCTGGATATACAGTGTGAGGTAGCAGGCGTGCCTATCTTAAAAGGCAGAGAATTCTAATGAAACAAAAAACGGTTTATGCTTCCTTCAGGAGGAATGAAGAATATGGTGGTAATGTTGAGACTTTGCAGTGCTTGTTCCTGTTCCTACAGTGTTGCAAATGTCAGTGCGAAACCTTATGGGGGGTTGGGGGCAGGGGCTATTTTAAAGCTTTTCATTCTCTGGCACTTTCATATCCATATACTCAAATCACCAACATGCATGAGCCCAGCACTCGGGTACCAAGGTGCTTGTGTCCAGAGGTTTGCTAGGGATGCTCTGTAAAGACATGGAGGATAAGGGCTGCTAGCTGTTGTGCCTGCATTCTTCTTAGGCTGGTATTCCTATTGCTAATTTCAGAGTGTTATTTCATACCTTTTGGGAGCTAGCTATGATCAGTCCCCCCATTCTTCCCCATCTCTGTGAATCATGAGGATTTATTCATTTTCCTTTGTCTCCCAACCTGGGTGTCCTGAGAAGCAGCACAGAGCTATACTGCAATCTTAGTGACTTGCTAAGCTAAGTGCCAGTAACATGCCATTCTCATCAATCTTCTGCTCTGGCCTTCAAGTCTTCCCATACTGCTGTGTTCCTGTTCAGTCTCCAGTCATTCCAATCAGGTTTTCCCATTTGCTTAGCTTGTATGTGTGTGCATGTGTGTACCACAGCTGCACAAAGTGAAGTTTCCTATTGGAGAAAATCTACCTACATCTCCTTATTAGCTAACAAACAGTAAAGAACTGCACTGTTTCAGGGTTAATGTGTTGTATTTACCCAAGTTTTCAATCTTTTGGTCTTCCTAGTTCACTTTGTAAAAAATAAACAGCATTTATCTTGCTAACTTAGACAGTTTTATATTTTATTCTTGTTTTAATGTGGGGAAGAAAACTACATGGAAAAAACTCTAAACTTTTCATGGGGAAGTGAAGATTGGAATGAATAAGGAGTGGAAAAAATTTCTGTGCTAAATTAACTTCACTTAGCACTTAAGACTGCAAAAACATCCTTGACTGCCATCCTTCCCCAAATGGCAGAATACAAAAGAGCAGAGCAGAATACAAAAGAGGTGGTGTGTTACAAAAGCATCAGAGCCTGGAACATCCTTCTCTTAACAACTTCTGGTGTAACATTCCTCTTGAAGGCAATTAAAAATCCTTCATGTTTCTGATGAGAGTAACTGGCAGGGCTGCATACTAAATGCTAAGTCCTGTGCCCTTCTGACCGCTTTATTGCTATTCTGCTCAGTAACTTACTCCTTTCGGAGCTATTTTAATATTGCAGCTCTTTAGCAGTTTCAAAGATGTGCTTTAAAATGTGTTAAGGAAAAAAAGATCATATTGGTTTATGACTAAAATGTTTTCTCCTTTCCTTCAGGTATATGTAATTTCTCCCCCCACACATTCATCCTCTAAATTACTAGGACAAGGTGTCCGTGTTGGGTCGTATCAAGCCTGATCTGGCAGTTTCTAGTTCTGCTCTACTGTGGCTTTACAGGATTACAGGAGCTGCCAAAGACTGGAAGTGTTCCATCAGGGTGTTCTGTTTATTTCTACATCTTTGAAATCCAGAGGGTTTTCAGATCATGGAGGGTTTATGCATAAAAGAAATGGGTTGCAGGGGTGTTTCAGAGGTGGTTTTAAGTATTGGGAAGCTATTTTTTTCCTTCTGGAACCCTGTTGATTTTTTATTTATGACCTGACATGACAAAAGGCCCAACAAAATGTTTAAACCCTCCTTTTAGTAATTTCAGAGAGGTTACCTCTGCGATATGGAATGCATACACAAAGCAGATGATGGTGCAGGCCAGTTTTATGGTCTCATTTGTAGTGCATCGGGGGTGATCTACATAATTCACCGGGGACTTCATCTCTTCTGGTAATGCGGTACTTCTACAGACTACTAAAGACGTTCAAGCACGTAGCCATCTTTCCGTAAGCACATTCTGTAGGCATGATAGGACTTTTCAAACAAAAGGAGAGTGAAGTTAAATCCCTTTGAGAAGTTGGACCTAGACAGGCAAAGTTGGCACGGGCACAAAACTGGTTAACATCTTCCTGCAACAAAATGCTCTTGCTTCCCTGTTGCTGTTGCCAGTGTGAGTGGCATCTGTCAGAGGGCACAGTGTCCTCCCTAGTGGCACATTGGCTGGGAAAGGCAATAGGCAATACCTTCCCTGCCTCACAGTGAGGTGATGATGGACTGCCTGGTTACTTCTACATCTGTCGCCTGTATGATTTAATTAGACCGGTCAGGTGAAGGTACAACACAGTGGGATGTGCTGTCACACTTCGGATTTACCTTCTCCATCTCCTGGCCTTGCTCTCTGGCCATCATTTCACAAACTTCAGAGAAAGCCTGCTCTTTGTTTGGCAGCCATTTGTGTGTCAGAACATTGTGCAGGGCCATTTGGGAAGCAGGTTTGGATAAGGGGTTGTCTGGTTAACAAGGGTTATCCCAGACTTCAGCCTGAAAATGTAAGAGATTATGTGATGGGGAGAGGGCCATAGGTAAAGAAATGATAACTAGAGGCCTTTCTATCTGCCAGACAGCTGAGGATTAGCCTGCTTCCTGTCTTCCCTATCCCCCTGCTGCAGTGCATAGCCTTTTCTGGTCTAGGGGATGGCCAGTGCGCTGGGAAAGGCAATGGCTATGGATCTTGCCTGTGGCTCTACAAGGTGTATCTCACCTGTTTGTACTTGCAGAGCAGGTTGATTTGCGGATGGGTGCTCAAGGAGAGATCCAAAAACTACATTCTTTAGATATAATGGCCCAGCACAGATTTTCACTAAAGAAAGGAGTGGTTTCAAGGTCCTTTGCAGGGTTCCTGGAGCCATTCCAGTGTTGTGTATGTGATACCTTCTGCTCTTGAGCTGACTGCCTTTTCTGGGGTATTAGACATATATCACAAAGCATGACGTGAAGCTGTCTTTGTAGCGATTCTCTGTGCTCGTTACTGCCTCCTTCCACAGGAGAGCAGCTGATTTACCTTTTGATGAGGTAATTGAAGTGATGTAGCCAACATCTTGCAGGAAGTCAGCAGAGGCCACAAATCTGTCCTGAGCTCTTCATGCTGCCCTTCCAGACCAGAATGGAACCATCTACAATGTAATGTCAAATGTAATGCTACTATGTGCCAAAAAACAG